GATAAGAAGAAATATGAGCTATGTGTAGTGATTATTTGAATAATCCTTCATATAACTGCTATTATTTGGTCAATTCGCCTCAAATGACAAGTTCTAGAGGATAAAGTTCTGATCAATTGAATGTATTTTCAAGAAAAAAAGGAAAGACCTTTGATACAGACTATGGATAATTTTATGGAACCCTTATGTTTTCAGACAATTTTACCGTGTATCCTAGAATATCAAACAGATCAATGAAAATTCCGGACAAAAAACGTAAATAACATAAAATTGACATTCAAAATCTTTCTTTGTCGTCGTTCAAAGTAAACATCGGAGTGGCAAAAATACTATCTAAATATGTTTATTCAAAGAAATTCATAGGGGAATCGTTACAATCGTTACAATCGTTACAAGAGGCTTTATTTTTTCGATTTATTTACGAGTTGATTTGTAATTGCATTACATAACGGAAAATGTGTCAGTTGTATAATGGTAGAAATTTTCAAATATAGATCGGCTTTTTTAAAAAATTTATTGCTGTTACCTTTAGAATGCAATAACCCAATCAATAAAAAAATTGGTATAATTGAAGAATGAAAAGATATAAACATTATAAATTGAGTTAAAATTAATGCAACACCACAGCGAATTATTTATTTAAAGAAACTTATTTTCAACTATTTTATTTTATCGAATATTAATTAAGAAAAAATATCAATATCCTCACCCTTCACTCGTTCATGTATTTTGGGACAGGAACTTTTTATCAAAATCCTAATTTTCAACCTTATATGTCATGATATTGATAAGGGGGGTATAATATTCATAAACAAAATAATAATAATATTATTATTATTAAATAATAAATTATCAAAGTAATAATATATTTATATAAGTAATTTTCTAAATCTAAATCTAATACAACTTATAATTACATAAATCTAGAAGATTTTGAGGTTTTGGACCTGCCAACGCCTATAGGAATTCCACCATTAGAACTTCTACTTTTAGTTGATCTAATGTTAGAAATAGAGGCATTAGTAACAATACCATTACTAAGGTTATTATTAGCATTTGTTCCATTTGTGAGTATAGGTGAAGTGACTAAAGTAGTAGTCTCATTAGTTTGTGATGATGCTTTAACCTTTGACATCTTTTCTTCCACCATTTTAACCAACATATCGGAGTACTTTTCTAAAAGATTATGTGTGTGACTTTCAGACAATTGCTGTTTCTCGGATGTTAAAGGACGTGGAGGTGATGATGATAGGGGAGAAGATTGTGTTTCTAATAATGGTGATAATACAGTTGATGAATTCTTGCTCGAGTTATTATTATTGTTGAATGGAGGTGAAGATTGTCCAACAAAATTACTATTTGTTGTTACTGCTGTTGTATATGAAACATTGGATTCTACATCATCATGGTCAGCATTACCGCAAATTGGTTCATTGATTTCGGACTTGTTCTTTGATCGGAATTTTTGCTCATTCACGTTGATACCGATACTTTTATGAATATCATCCATCATACCTATTAAACTTTCGGAGATTAATTTTGCGATAGATTCATTCTTGGTTTTAGGAGATGATGCTTTCTTGTAAGCTGCGAGTGTTCTCTCCAGTAAAACTGTTATCGATAAAACATCTTCCATTATGCAATCTTCGTTCACTTCTGACACCACAGTATTGGTTGTACTATGACGAGTAATTGGTTCTATTATAAATTTCAATAAATTAACATTTTTTTTGCAAAATTTTATAAAAAAAAAATAAAATTACCATCAGTATCAGCATCATTATCAATGATTTTATAATCATCAACAATAATACCAAGACCATTGCCTTTTTCAACGAGTCCTTTGAATTCTCCTTGGATAATAGTACTTTCATTTTCATTCTGAAGTGTCACCACAAGCGAAGGTATTGTTAAAGATTTGTCATTATTTTTATCTGTATTTTTCAATGACGGCGATTGTGGTTCACCTTCAACGTTAGCCTCATACTCTTTACTAATCAATTCACCAGCTTTTCCTTTTAAATTGTCTAAAGCTTTTTCAACTCCTTCTTTATTATAGATACCTTCTTCACTTTCTTCAGCATCATTCACATCACTTCCTTTAGGACTTCCCATGATTTTAGCTAATGCATCTACTAAAATATTGTTACCATTATTCACGCTTTCTCGATGGCTTTCAGAATAAAATTTCATCGTAAGGCTCTGACGTTTCCTTGAAATGTCATCATTTTCTCCTGAAATTAGACCATTATGTATATTATCGTTAAAAGAACTTTCTACAGGAGTTTGCAAGTACATTTCCAACTCCCTTGCATTATCTTCTCCGCTTTCCACCTCTTCCACCTCTTCCTGTTCTTCCTGTTCTTCCTCCTCTTCACCATTAATATCAACTTCTACATCTTTATCACTTCCTGAAGGCGACTTTGGTCTATCATCTATAAATTCTACAGTTTTAATACTTCCAACAAAACTACCTCTACGACGTCTTCTATTAGAAGAATTACCTTCATCCTCAACTGTTTCATCATATTCTTCATCTTGTGACTCAATATATATTGTTTCGGTGTCTTCATTATCGTCATTTGATGAATCTTCACCCGTATGCTCTCCAACTGGTAAAGAAATATCTTCCTCCTCATCGTCATCAACTCCATCACCAAAATCATCAACAACTGTAGGCCGAGGAGTACAAGATGATGAAGTTGGTGATAAAGTTAATGATTCATCCATCAAGGTATTATCAGAAAATGAATTGATTTCATCATGATTCATGTCATTTGAATCAACAGATCTAGTTGAACTTTGACGTAATTTACTTTGTGATTTAACTTTAAGAATTAGCTTTTCGGGTTGAACATGGTTCGTTCTAAATTCATCATTTGATACAAGATTCGATGACGCTTTATTGTTAGGTTTTCCTTTATCTTCCTCTTTTTCTTTAAAAGCCTTTTTAGCCCAAAGTCCAAGCTTTTTCCATGACTCTCTTTTTACAGAACTTGATGATGATGGACTATTTGGTGGTGTGGACATTACATGATCTATAAAAACATTAGGTCGTGGTGGTGGTGAAGTAGGTTGAGGTAAACGACTATATGGAATTTCCGATGATTTTGGAGATGTTGGAGAGAATTCCGATACAGGTCTTGGAGTTGTAACTTGAATAGGTTTAGGATGTGGTGATGTACCGTCATTAGCAAATGATGCAGGCCTCTTTAGTCTTATTGAGGATTCATCAGTATGATAATCTGCTGGCGTAAGAGATCCAAGAGATTTCTTTGCTTTTAAAGGACCTTTTCTTATCGTAAATTCTATATCTTGATCTTCATTTCCTTGAAGATCCATCATAAGTGACTGAGATCTCTGAGCTGGCATATTTGTTCTTTGATGAATAGATGAGGTATGTGAAAGATAATCTTTTAGAGTAGGCGAATTTCTTTCCATTGATTGACCTAAAACTCCACTTCTATCTAACCATTTTTGTCTCATTTTAGCTACCAATTCGTCAGAGACTTTCCATACAAAGATACATCCATCCGCTGATGTTGATATTATACGTTTACAATCCGGTGTAAATTTAACTCCTGTAATTAATTCTGAATGTCCCAATACTTTACCCAATATAGCACCATTAGAAAAGTCAAAGAGCCTAATACTTTTATCCGAACCAGCGGTAACTGCATGAACACCCCCGGGATCCAATGAAATCCTAAGAAGACTTCCTTGGTCTTGAACGTTAACTTCCTCAGGGGTGTCTGATTTATAGGAACGTACGTTCTTTCCTGTTTCGATATTAAACACATTTAATCGACGTTCACCAGAAACAGTCGCAATATACCGATTTGATATATCAATATCCATATCAAACACTGTAGCTCTTCCTGATATATTATGATGGGATACATAAGAACCGGCCTAATAAAAAAGATTATTTGTAATAAGTTTAAAATATTAATAGTTGGTCATACTTTTTAAATCAACTACATACGTTTTGTCGACTCCTGAATATGATACTCTTATCAGCACCACAACTAATCAACCTTCCACCATCATTAGTAAATTTTATAGCGGTAATCGATGAAGAATGATCATCCAACGTTTGTATTAGTTTGAAATTACTATTAATATCAAACACGTGTAATATTCTGTCTCGGCTCGCAGTAGCGATCAAATAAGGTGCATCTGATTAAAAATTATTTTTATTTTTATTTTTAAACAAAAAAAAGAAAATAGAATTTATATAAAATTTTTTAGTTTTAAAATCATATTACTATTTCATTTTTCACTTACCATGTATACGACCATCAGTAAATTCAATAGCCAAAATTTCTGCGTCGTGTGCTTCTTGATAAGTCATTTCTTTAAAAGTATCAAGATCATGCACCCTAAAAATTGTTTCAATAGAATTTAATTACTTGGTAAAAGATATACGTTTATGAGTAAAGATATTTTTTTCTAATTACCTTAAATTTCCTCCACGATCTCCGGATGCCATCAACTTTCCATCTGGACTAATTTTTAAAGTACGAATGCTAGCTTCAACAGGCATATTAGCGTTTCCGGCGTTCTGTTCCGACGATTCTATAAAAATGTTAATAAATGACAATTTCTTAAAGGAGAAATCTTCTAACATATTAATATACATACCAGTATCATTACAGTTGGGAGCAATAACAGCACTAGATTTATAGTTTCCATCGGGATCGACATAAATAATCTTTAGACATTCTTTACTATAAATATTTTTTTTAATATTATTTGCCCCGGATTCATTTCCACCGTTGGAAACGGAATTATTATGATCTAAATTCCAAAATCTAATTGTATTATCAGAAGAATACGTTACAAACGTATTTTCGGGTAATGATGTTGCCGTAGCCGTAGAATCGCGATCAGGAACCATCTAACAAAGGGAGATAAATAAAATTTTTTTAATGACAGTTATAATAACAAACTAATATTTTTCCTTAACAACTTACCTCTACACCCCATATGGTATCACAATGGCATAGGAAACTTCGATATTTTCCCACTTTCTTTACGTCTTTAATATCCCAAATGAAAAAACTACGATCACTATATATACACGAGAGTTTTCCGGTTTCGGCATCCAACTTGACTGCAACTGTATCCGGATATATATCATTCGGACCACCAACGCAATAGGTGGTTCCAGTTTGTAAGGTTAAATCAACTCCCAGTGGATGTGGTTTCGGTAAAGTGCCAATGTATTTTAATGTTATTGGTTCAAACAACCTGTGATAAAGTAGTTAAGATTAGGATCAACCGGAAACGAAATATCAAAGAGAATTACGCGTTTTTAACATTTTACCTTACAATTCCATTCGTACACGCACAAACGATATATTGTTCGCAAACGTCAATCGATAAGGCGCCTTTGACCTATTTCACAAAAAAAAAAAAAAAAAATTATTTTAATTTACATAAAAGTTTGTTAAAAATTTCTTTCACATTAAAATATATATGTTTATATAGTTCTTCTTTGCAAATTAATTATCACGGACCTGCAAATTAACCCATTTATCCATTAACCTACCCTCCGTGAACATGCATAACAATCCATTAGAAGTGACAAAATATGTGTGATCCGATTTTTGACAACAAGCCGCGTCAACAAAATTATTATCTCTCAAATCTCCCAATATACCAGAGCGTCCGTCCAGCACTTGAACAAGTGATTTTTGTATGGATTGGCCCTTTTTTTTTTTTTAAAAAAAAAAAAAAAAAAAACCAAAATTAAAAATTGTTTTCAATAAATTTCTTTTCTACACATAAACTTTTGAATTTAATATACTCACAGCTGGTTTCTTTGGTAAATTTCCATTTGGGTCGAAATACCAAAATTTCACGTGCCTTAGACCAGCCGTAACGAAAAACGATCCATTACGACTGTATGCTAGAGTGTGAACTTTGGTAGTGATTTTATTGCACGCGACTTTCACGGCCGTTTTCCAATTCCATACATTTAAATATCCATCATGCTAAAATAACATGATAAATTGAAAAATTAAAAAAATATATTTACAATATTTGAATATAGATAGATATTTTTAATGATAAATCCACTCACTTGAAACCCTAATGAAATTATATATTTCATATTTGGAGAAAAACGAAGCGCCAGCACTCCAAATTTGTGGCCTTTTAATTCATTAACTAGAGTTTTTGATTGAACTTCCCATATTAAGATACGCGGTTGATGTCCAGTCTAATGAAATAAAAATTGTGTAACAAGAGATCATGCAGTGTAACATCTGGAAAATCGCATTTTACGTATGATACGATACCTCACCAACAGCCAAATAATTACCATCAGGAGAGAATGCCACGCAAGATATTGGCTTTGCTTTATTGCTAACAGGGGATTTATTAGCATTATTAGCATTGGTAGGAGGTTCTAATAAACCCAAAGCGCCTAATGGATTTAAAGCACCATCTCCAACGATTGTATGACGATTCGGAAAGGCATTTGACCAAGATGAAGCAGTATTTGCTTGAGAAAAAGCAAGTGATGGAGAGGCGGTTGATGACGCGTATAGAAAAGCGATTTGCTTATTTTTCTTGTGATTATATAATACCACTACTGAACCAGCTGCATATGCTACGAGATCTAGTGAAGGTGCAGTTGCCATTACGGTTGATTTTGAAGTGGTTAATCCAAGAATTCGTTCCAGTTCAATCTATATAAATAAAGTTTTATTTTATCTTTCATTAATCCATTTTAATATATGAAAGCTTTTTAAAATTGAGCATATAATTTTTATTCTCAATGTTTGTCAAAGTTCCCTCAAACCATTTTGATTTAATTTCTAAATTTGATCCAAAAAAACTAACAAGATACTAACAGCAGGAGTGGCATTTTCGCCTTTCTTTTTACGTCTCAGGCCACGATTATTCTGAGGGTAAGAAGCAACAGTAAGGGGTCTTGAAGATCTCGGAGCAAACATTTTTTATGAAAGTATTTTGTATAATAAAGAAGGGTGGTGTATATATAAATAAATACGGTAATGGTTTTTGTTCTCGTTCGTTGTATACTAGTAATGTATAAAGGTGAAAAAAAATCTATGGGTTATATGAAAAGACGATAAAGTCGGTAGTTATAAGTATTTGACTTTTATATTAGTCTATTATGTTGTTGGAAGTCGATATGATTCAATGACGAAATGTTTATTTATCTGGAAAAAAAAGGTGTTTTTTATCGAGTTTTATTATTTTTTAAAAAATATATATATATTATTTTTTTTTTTTTTTAGATTCGTCTTAAAACTGGAATTTTTTGATGCTTTGAGTCCTTATTAGGTTAACGCTATCATTACAAAAAGAAAATTATTAGCGCGACGCGAAAATGTGAAACAGAATAAGGTTTTGAAACAAAGAAAAATAGTCCCGTCTTTACTATAAAGGGAATTTTGTTTGGTAAAGGTTAAAATACAAAAATCCAAATAAAATAAGCTTTTTTTTAAAAAAAAAAATCAGCAGGAAAAAAAATAAAAAGAAAAAAATAAGAGGTTGAAATTCTTAAAGGTAAAAGAAGGCTTTTTTTTTAAAAAAAAAAAAAAAAAATTTTGGGGGGGAAATAAAGATTTATTTTATATAGATACATACATACATATATATTTAAAATAAAGATTGGCGTTATTACAATGGAGAACTAGAGTTAACAGTATGTATATTCTTTTTCTAGTAGAATTTATGTGTAGTACTCTTAAATGGCAAGTTTCTCGGCTATTGTTGAAGATCACTTGATGTTTTTTAAGCTATGGTGGACAGTCATACAACATCCAAGAGATGATTGTAGCAAAAAGTTCGAGTAGAATGACGAAAATCCAATTTCTTAACTCAATTAACTGTGTTAATTGTAATGATGTAACCAAAACAAATAATTTCAAAGATGTAAATTATAACCAATTGTTATCCATTCACGCTTAATGAAACATACCAATCAACTTATTTATTGAGTTGGATGAATTATTAATGTGAAAGAGAACCTCCCCCTGACAATGTGATTTACGTTGATCTGCTCCTACAAGATATAATATAAACAAACAAAAATTAATTAAAATAATCAACAATTTAAAAAAAAACTTCTAAATAAAGAACCAATAATAGAAACAAGGTACATTTTATTTTTTATTTTTTTGTCCCCCCTGGCTTAATTAACACCCTGATAAGCATATCAAGTTTTCAAGGTTAAATTAATTACGCGTAAACGCGTTCTTTGAATCTAAATAATTCACATCATATGTATTCGAATCAAGTTTCTAACCAAGTTTTTGACATCAAAGTTATACGAAGAGACAATTTGGAATTCTGTTCATGTTGGAATATGCTGTCTTTATGCTTGAAATCATCTGACGCAACGCAAGCATAAAATGCGTGAAGGTTTGAAGGTTTAAACGTTACCTGGTTTTCGGGAATTACAACAGATTTTTATGTTGAAAATGATCATTGTGTTGATCATCAAATCACCCAATTATTCGAAATTAGAAATGTCATGTGTTTCTTAACATTACCCTTGCATAAAATTTCTTTTCCCTATTATTATAAAAATGTTCAAAGAAAATACACAAATTCTATTCGTAAAACGTCCTACACAAGGCTTCTTTGAACCAAAGGAAACTTTTGCCATTGTGAAAACTCCCTTGCCTACTCAAAATGAATTAAAGGAGGAGCAAGTATTAGTAAAGATCTATTATATTTCATTGGATCCAGGCAAGTTTATTAATTCGCTTGATTTATTAATTTATTCCTAAAAGTTGCTTACCAGTTAATTGAATGGATCGATTAGCTATGCGTGGATGGATGAATAATACTAGAAGGTAAATTAAACGAATTTGAAGTTTAATTAAATTTTATTTAATTAAAATTTAGTAAGTTTATGCGATTTGATTATGATATATTAGCTATATGAAACCATTAGGTAAGCACTAACACGGGTAAAAGTAAATTTTCGATTTTCTGTTGTAACTTTTATTTATTTGAATTCTATTTTAGAGATAAATGAGATTATGCGTAGTAATGCCATCGGTGGTAAGTTTGACTTGAACGATTATCGTTAAAATAAACCTAAAAATAACCAACCACTTTAAATGAATGATTTTTTTCTTCAGAGGTTGTTTTATCTAAACATCCAAAATTTAAAGTTGGCGACATAGTTCACGGATTTCTAGGTAAATAATAATATTTAATAAGACAAAAACAATCAAATTAATGTATATTTTAAAATTAGGTTGGCAAAAATACGCTTTAACTCATGGCAAGGATATTAAAAAAATCACGTAAGCATATGTATCTTATATGTGTATATGCATGTATAAAATCATCCGGATTAACCCTCTCGATTTTACGAATATTAGTCCACCGCCTGGTGCTTTCCTTCACGACTTTCTCGGAATTTTTGGTAGTACTGGCTTGACTGCTTATTTCGGTTTACTTGATAGTAAGTATATTTTTAACAAAATCAACCGTGTTTTCGAGGTTGACGCGTTACTCATTATTTAATCTATTGGAATTTTTTTCTTTGAATAAAGTTGGTAAGTAGGTTCGGTCATTTTTACTCTTTACCTGTATTTCGATAAGAATCTAAAGATGGATCATATAATTATCTATAGGTAAACCAAAGCCGGGAGACACAGTTGTTATATCCGGTGTAAGTAAACAATATTTTATAAATTCACATTCTTTACGAAGACCTCTTTCACCATTCTCTCTTTCCTTTCCTATATAAATAGGCCGCAGGTGCAACAGGTAGTGTTGCAGGTCAAATTGCAAAAATCAAAGGAGCACGTGTAATCGGTATAGCAGGATCTGAAGAAAAATGTGACTGGCTAGTAAACGAGTTGGGATTTGATATAGCGTTAAATTATCGTGATCCCGAATTTGTAAATAAATTAGCCAAAGCTACACCACGATATATCGATGTATATTTTGATAATGTGGGTGGCGATATATTAGATCAATGTTTAAAAAGAATTGCTAAAAATGGTAGGATTGTTTTATGTGGTGCTATTAGTCAATATAACGAAGCGCAACCTAAAGGTCCTGCATATTATACGGCTTTGATTACTCAACGCGCCAAAATGGAAGGTTTTATCTTGTTAGTTATATATTTATATATGATTTAAAATTTTTTTTTTTTTTTTTTTTTAATCCTTTTTTTGATGTTTAGTATGGATTATATTAAAAGATATCCTGAGGCGATTAAGGATATTTCAAAATGGTTACAAGAGGGAAAAATTAAAAGAAGAGAATTTATTATTGAAGGATTAGAAAATGCCCCGGAAGGGTTATTGAAATTATTCGATGGTCAAAATATTGGTAAAATGATGGTCAAAGTTAGTGATGAAAATATAAAAAGTAAACTTTAATTTGCTGATGAAAACGATTTTTTATTCCATTAGGATTTTTTTTCTTTAAATTATTATTAAAAGTTCATTTTAGGGGGTCCATATATTAAATTCAATATCTCTTCAGTAAAATTATTAAACATTTCATCATTTTTCCTTCTATTATCCAATAATGTTTCAACATTGCGATCATCATTTCTTGCAGAATGATCAATCTCCAGTATTATCTCTCTTAAATAATCGTCCTTTAAAAATTCTCGAATTTTTTCTGACTTTTCTAATAAATAAAAATACACGTCAGTCAATTAATTTTAATATGGCAATGTATTTTCGATTATGTCTTACCAAGTAATTCTAATTGTTCCGAGTGTAACCCATCTTCTTCATTCAACTCGGGTATCGGATCATCGATTCCAAAACCATCATCTTCCAAAACTGAATCCGTCTCTGGGTCTATGCTCATTTCAACGTTTATATTTCCATTTGATATATCCACCAATTCTGAACTTTCCACCGAATTATCATCAGTATCCTCACTAGAGTCCGACCTGTCACTATCAGAATCTTCACTGGAATCTATTTCGGCATCACTCGAGTCTTTACTATCATTATCACTAGATTCCTCACTACTATCATTCCTCTCGATATTTATACCTTTGCCATTAAAACTTTTACTTCCCGTCTCTTCAATGTTTAAATTCTCATTATCCGTGTTTGATTCTATATCAGATGAATAATCATAATTTTTACATATCCCGCCTAAAATGCCATGCATTGTATCCGAATAAATATCAATTGGAACTCCATTCATTCCAGCAGATACTGGCATTCGTTCAATTGTCTTGGTTTTTGCAAAATTTTCACCCATGTTTTTCAATTCGTTTATTTATTTTTTTTTTTTCCTAAAAATAAATATTAATTAATTTAAATTAAGCCTGAGAAATTTGATTTGATTGGCCATATGTTCTTTTTTGTATCACAAACTAAATTAGAAAATATTTGTAAGATTGACTTTAATTCAGTTACCAATCGCACTAGTTTTTTTTGATTAAGCTCTGGAAGAAATGTTCAAATATTTAAATGTGTGTGATCTGGTTTCTATGAAATATGATTAAATTGTCTCGAATAAAGATCGTTAAATAGGGATATATTATTTATTTGTCTATAAAATACTATTGTTTGCATTTTTTGTTTACTTTTCTAATAATTAAACTATTAATTTGAACAGTATATATCCATTTGTTGATTACGACGATTCAATTAAACCATTTAAAATATCCAAATTACATGCATCTAAACAAATAAGTGTATTCACTAGAATATAAGTTTGTTTAACGTATTATAACCATAAAAAGATATTAAATAAAATTTATACACCTTTTAAAAATGCATTTTTTACTGCAACGATCAATGTAGATGAAATATTATTACCATTTTTGATTTAAAATATCTCTAATAAAAAATATAAATCACATAATTTTAAAACCTTTCTGTAATAAGAATATTACATTTAGAACCTTTTAGGTAATAATTTAAAAATATTAAAACTGCGAATTTATATGAAATTATAAAAATATTTTCTTTAAATTTACCTGAATATATTTACTATAAGATGTTCTTTTTATATAATTTATCACTTTTTATTAATTAATAATTTTTTATATAGTTGACTCTCCTTTAGTCACATGGTTCCAATTAGAATTCTGAAAGAGTCAAATTGAGTTGAGTTAAAACTCAAAAAAATCAAGTTGAGTCGAATCAAATCAAAAAGATTTTAAACATAAACTCAAGTCAGCTCTTGTAACTAAAGGTGCAATAAAAAATCATTTCAATAGAACGATAAAAGATTATTATAAAAGATCATTCTAATAGAATAATTGCCAGAAATCAGCTGATTTCAACTAATCAGTAGCCTTTTCACCTGATCGAATTCTGATTGGTTACATATATATAAAAATTTACATGAACCTTTAAATTTTATCAAATAAAAAAATTCATTCAAATTGGATTACTAAATACTAAATTACTAGAATAATTGCAAAAAAACTTTTAAATATATGTAAAAATAATAGAATTATGCAAATATTTTACCATCTTGTAATCAAATTTACATGAATTTTTTTTTGTTTTATAGGCTTTTTAAATAAAAAATTCATTCAAATTGGTTTTAATACCATAAAATCTTGAAATTAAGCACCTTCCGAAAATAAGCATCCCTGCTACTTTTGCTATAGTATTTGTAAAAACTAAAAGTAAGCACCTCTTTATAAATTAATAGCTAATACAGGTTTTATAAAATTAAATAATAAAATAAAATTATTTATAATGAATTTATAGCATGATTATTCTTTATTTATTTTATAATGACATTATTAATTTTCTAATTTATCTATTCATCTGCAATAATTTTTTTTAGATCAGTAATTAAGCATCTCCACCAGTTTTATCAAGCCGAGTTTTCATTATGTATCATTAGAAATTTAGAAAGAAATTTAAAAAGAAAAACTTAGGAAATTAGGAAATTAATTTATAAGTTTAATAAAAATCTTTGCTAAATCATCTTGATAAATCAATTAACTATAGCAAACATATTTTGTGTTAAATTGCTTTGTGTTAACAGTGTTTAATATTATTGATTTATTTGTATCAATAAATCTTTTACAGTAACACCTCCATAAGTGCATGCATCTAGGGCCAGCCATGCATGTGCACTTATAGAGGGTGTGTACTTATAGAGTAGTCAATAGAAAAATAGATTTTATTATACAAATTAAAAATCCAATAAACTTTATTTAAACAGCATTTATTTAAACAGCATTTGTTTAAACTTCATGTATTTAAGCTAATTTTATATATTTTTAAA